CGTCCCCCTGTTAACAAATTACGAACGATCCATGGGATGTACTATCTTTGAGGACAATTTCTGCTTTTTTTGTCCTTTTTTATTTAGTTCTCATCCACTGAAGCAAAATATCTTATAGGAAGTTGTTTGAGACGGCATTACCTGAACAGGTTTCACTGTCTTGCTTGTCAGCTTCATACCGCTTTTGTTTGGGAAACAATTTATTTGACTGTGGTTCATCTAGTCCATGACCTTTGCACTATGATTTTAGAATTCATAGTTTCTTTTATAGTTTGTTTCAGCTGAACTCTTATGCACCGGATGCGACAAGACCGCATCTTCTTAATTCTTCAAATGTTCTCCTCTACTATCGCCGACCTAGTACGATTAGCTGACTAAACGTTTGAAGGCTCAAAATATCATTCTGTAAGTCGCGGATTCCATTTCCCATGGAGTATCTTGAGATGCAGACTATTGATGAACAAACTGAGGAACAAACGGCGGTGCAGAGCTTTTAGCACATAGAGGTCGAACTATCCGTTTTGCAAGATGCAGTGAATGATCTTCATCGGCTTGTTTCTTTGCACAACGACGAATTTCGTACAAAATATCTTATACTGATTGTATACTACCTACCACGTTTTGAAACAGATTTTTGTACGTGATACCATCATTCACTGTGGATTTCAGCAATGGCACCGTTCTCATTTTTAGATGCCTGAAGGCGAGCAAAGAGGCGACGATATTTGCAGGCTTCCAGTAGCTAAACCCTGCCAACCAAAACAGTTCCTAGGCCTTCACTCATAGTATTTTTCTGGACAAGTTTGCCAAATCCTAGGACTGGTGGAGTAATGTGCCGATAGGTGATTGTTGGCAAAACGTGACCTCCTTTAGGGTATCCTCAGTTGGCCCTATGTCTTTTTGGTACTCACTGAGCAGTAATTACTCCATTTCCAAATTTGTCGAAGTTTATCCATCAGTTCTTTTGAGTAAAAGCGTGAAACCGGGGCACCTCAATAAATGTCGCTCAGTTTCTGTTTTTGTCCGAGCATTAGCTCTCTCTCTCTCTGTGTCTCACACAAATATGCTCGGGTTTGTTTTAGGGACTCAAACATTCTGGGGGAATTGGTAGGAGTTGATTTCTCACACCACCACGTTCCTTGTTTGAAGTGATGAAACCTCAAGCGAAAGTCACTAAAACTTACCTCGTTTGTTTAGTGTTTATAGCAACGCTTTTCCTGTGTTTGCACTTTGTGGGTCACTGCATACCTCAATTTACCGTCAAAATTAGAAGTATCCACTGAGTTACTTCGGCATCAAAGGCAATGTGCAATCAGTTCATTTGGAAGTCTGGTTATCCTAAGCTTTACGAAATATACCGGCGAAGATATATGTCTACCCATAGTTTCCAACAAAAAATCTGGAAGTTACTCAGGATTTTGCGGTGAAGTTAAGTGGACGGTGTATCATCTCAGTTAGTTTCTTTCCATGCTTTCATTCATGACACCCCTAAAGTTGCTCAAAAACGTAAAACCTCGAGCGGGTAGACGGATCACACTGATAAACATGTGGATATGTAGTACCGCACCGACACTATTTTCACTTGCGGGTTTTATTTCGTGTTGTAGAGCCAGCTGTGCTCCAAATCTAATGTTGACCACCAACTGCCAGACATCCGTGAGATCGTGTGTCTCGTTGAGTAACGCCATAGGAAAACTGTCCAGCTAGCTTATTCCCCGACAAGATGCACAAATATCCCATCAATACCCAAACGGCACGCACACTAATCTGCTTCTTTAGCACTGTATGCGGTCTCCTCCATGGATTCGTTTTTAGAGTCTAAGCTGTGTTGCCTCCGTCTGAGCCCTAAACAGCTCGAGCTTTCAGTTCACTCTGCGGGGTCGCGTGATCACCTTCCCGAATTAATTCCTTTTCCACAGCTGAATACAAAAGTCAGCTGAAACTCATTTCGGCCTATTCTGGCTAACCGTACGTCACGTACAAGCCAAGAAAAGAGGCCTTTTGGACAAAAGAACACTCTAGGACGTTAAAACACTTACAAAAAATGACGACTAGGCTATAGGCTTCAGGGCCGATCAAAGAACAATGATCAAGATGACTGTTAAATCCAAAGATCCCTATAAAACGAAATGCTTTCAGTTAGGCAATTCCAAATTTAAGCTAACAAGTGAGAAAAAGTAAGCATGTTCTGTACCAAAGGCAACATCTGAAGACAATTCATCACTACCATTATCTTTGGATACAAAACGTTACCTCCCAAAACGCGCACAAACCTTACCAAGCTTCCTGGTCGTAAAACTAAAACCATCATTTAAGAGTGTCCCCTTACATGTTTTACTGAATAGCCAAAGTACGCACAATTTTCGAACTGAGGCTTGGCACCTGAATTAAAGACGCTTATGCTAGGATCCAAAGCCGCGTCACCTGTTTGTTTTTAGAGGTTTGGTTCTGGTTATCGGGCATTGGCTAGCTTACCAAAATCGCTTAACTAGAAATTTCATTTCGAAATTTGAAATCTTCCGGCCCTTTTGCCGGATCAACACCCAAGTTTCCATAGCTACCAAGTTTTTCCACTCTACCCTACGCCATTTACCAAGGCACGACTAGCCGAACCAATGGAATTTATTTCTCAACTTATTGGGTGCAGAGGCGAAGAAGTTGGCATTCCCACCACGCTTCTGAAAGGAATATCAGTTTTGTGTGCACTATATTCAGTTAGGTTTCAAGATCGGAATTTATCAGCGGCAAGGAGGGGTTCAGTCTGGCTCTCTTATGGGTAACTTTCAAGCAAATTTACCAACACATTAACTTAAAACCCAATAGCTAGGTGGAGCCGTGAACAATATGCACTCTGCGGTCATCGCACAAGCAGAGTATTTGTACTTGTCATTTACCCACCTGTTCGGCAGTGCCGATGCACCCCATGCCAACAACCCAGTAAACAAGCTACCGGTGTAATGGCGGACACTACTGATGAAGCATGTAAATAGTATGTTGTTTTCTGGCAACTCCGTTTCGTGTGTGATGGGAGGTGGGGTTTATTATGGAACTTGCGTAACTGCTTTGCAGTTGCGAGGTAGCCAATGAGCATCAGCAAAAGTCAAAGAAAGTGCGTGAGGATATTCAGTTTTACGAAACATGGTGCATATGAGGCGTTTATATTCCCGTTCAATAGTTTGTAAACGTTTGTTTGGTGTATGTTAAGAAACGACTTCGCGGCGAATAACTTCCTTTCTTACACTTGGTGCCGTGGATGAGAATGAAGATTCTATGGCCACAGCCTTTGAGGATGGCTCTCTGCGGTCCTTCCTGGAGGATTTCGGGGATGTTGCTGGGACGACTGTACTGGATACTGAACCAGGCATGTTAGCGGCACTGAACCCCCCCCCCCAAAGGCCGGATGAAGGCGGCCCTAGATGCAACCGGAAGGGGCCCGCGGAAGCTGGACTAAGCCGTCGCTCTCTCAAAGGAGTTTGACATACTGACAGACCACCAAGAGACTATGAGACCTACTTGGAACCTGCATGAAACCCGACGGAGTTCTTTGCCAGCACACAGCAGTCGGCGGATCGGGCCTTGCCGGAACTGGACAGAGTGTCGCGCGAGCGGTTGCTGGCCGACCAGCTCGTCAGGGGTGTGCATCTTGCACTTGACGATCAGTTGGTGAGAGCTAATGGCCAGCTGAATGTGCGCGAGCTTGTGCATCTGGCATGGGTATTGGCCAAAACGCCAATAGCCGCGCTGCAGTTGCAAAAGAATAGGGATGATTCATCAGTGGAGGACCTGGAGAATGAAGTGGGCCAATTAACCGGATGGCTTGCAGCCATCGAGGTGAAATCTTGAAGGCACGCTCGGACAAGCTGATGTTACAAATGTGGCATGCTTAGCCACTGGAAAAAACATTGTTGTCGTACCTGACCAAGTGAAAATAGTGAAACTTTGGATCCCTTCGCTTTTCCAGAGCGAACTGCAATTAGTTTTGTGACACAGGATACCATACAAGCCGTTATCAAGATAGACGGCTTTTGAATAAACTGACCGTAAATTGGGTTGTGGTTGTCTCTTTGGTTGCAGAGGCCTTCCATTCCCTCCGGCATTTCCGATATTCAATGGTGATCGACATGCGTTCATGATACTGGCAACTATCTGTCAAGGCGGAGGACCAGGAGAAAACGGCGTTTACGGTTGGGGACACCCAATATCAGTTTAGACGGACGGTGTTTGATTTGTCTGGGGCACCATTCACACTCCGGAGCTTGATGCAAAGTTCAACGAAAGGACTAAAGAAATTTTGCCCTGTACGGAGATGATATCGCTGTGAACAGCTATTCGGGACCGGAGCACACAGTCAACTTGCAGGCCGTATTGAAGCAATTCGAAAGACTGGCCTGCAGATAAATGAAACCAAGAGACAGTCCGCTTGGAGTTCAGTGAAACTGTTGTGGCATGAAGTGGGTCAATGCCAGAAAAATATGCTAAGATTGAGAATTGTGCTGTTTCAACTTCAAAGGGATCTCTACGGCAGTTTCTTGGACAAGTAGCATACTATGGCCGATTTGTCAAGAATATTACCACGATTTTTGCCCCAGTCTACGAATTGCTTGGGCAAAATGGAACGTACCAGCGAAGCACATGGGGCTTGTGCTTGTCAACGCGCGGATACCGGATAAGCAGCTCATCCTCACCCAGGGTCGGAGAGATGATTGCTGCTACAACAAACGTCAGTGGTCGCGGTATCGGCGTAGTCCGAAACCAGAGGATTGGAGTCACTGAATAGACCAGTCGTGTCCTGACACTCGTTAGGCAGAAGTGCTCAGCTATTAAGAATGAATGTTTAGAAATCGTCTAGGTTCAAGACAAACGGCGGCTATTCCTCCTTGGACAAAGAGTTCATGCGTAGACTAACCACAACCCTCTAGAGTGGATCAGACCAACAGACATTCCCATAAAATGCTGGCGCGCTTGGCACTCTGTTTAGAATTCACGATTCGACACGTGCCAAGAGAGGAGAACCATGCCCGAAGACTGAAGATGAGTTTCCCAGGATAATGGTTGGCTCCAACAGCCTCGTCGCTGGTTGGTGTAAATCCGATGGCAGGATTCTGTGCTTGCCTTGTTAAATGGAAGGGGTTGAGAACGGAGAAGAGAATGGGGGACCTGAGACTCTTTGGGGTCACCTCAATGACCTGAGGCTGAGTGGGGCTGGTATAATTTCCCGGAATGCCACTGATTCTGATGTTGTGCTGCCCGTGACACCTCGCGTCTTGAGGCGACAACTGATCGTCAAATGCCTCAGGATTTCACACACAAGGTGCACCAAGACGTCCGACTTACTTCGGTCCGGAGCCCACTGGCCCGAGATGAGAAGTGGGTTGGTGGATTTTGTGGTGTCTTGTGAGCGATGCTGACTGATAAAAGGTAGTACGGCAGAGGCAGCCTCTCCCATGGAACCGAGTCCTGTGAGGGAAATTGGCGAATTAAGTTTCGCCGACGCCATGGGCTTCTCCCACTGATGTCAGCGAAAACCAATGTATCGTGATAATGAAAGAACACCTATCGTAGTGGGTCGAGGAGGCATCCGTGCCAAAGCAACGGGCATTGACGATCAGCGGATTGGTAATGCATCACATCGCGACCAACCAAGGGGTGACAAAAGTGACCCTAACTGCTCGGAGGTCTTGCTTTGAGAGTAAAGAGCTTGTGAATAGCTGCGCATCAGACGGCTATAGACAGCACTCCAACGTATGCAAACAAAATGTCAACCAAACGACATAACCGAGCGATCAATAATTGGCTGGTGGCTAGAGGAAGTCACTGGGAAGTAAACCGATGTTTTTGCCACCACATCGTGCTTCCACAGGCATTCTCCCATGTATACTGATGCATGGTCGACATCCGGGCCCTCCAATTGGTCAGAAAATTTGGGTGTGGTCGGCAAGCCGTTTGTCGCCGGATTAGATAGGTGGGGAACGGAAGGAAGCTCGATAAAAACCTGACCGCGTTCGAAAAAGCACTAGGCAGAGAACGGCAAATAAAAATGCACGTCCATTCCCCATAGGCGAGAAAGTGAATTGGAAGGATCAGCAGAATACTTGAAGGAGTGAACTGGAGTCGCGGAAGCTAGGCGGACGATGGCAAGGACCATTTGTCATTACCGATCGCCGGACGAACGTCTTAACTCAGGACTGTAGGGGATCGAAAAGAGTTTACTCTTTTGGAGGTCAGCTCCGGAGGTGGCATGATACACTCAAAAAGCTGCCTAATAGACTTGCCGCCATGGCCACCTTACGAAGGTAAATTAAAAATCGTCGGCAGGCAAGCGACGTTTAAAATAAGAAAAATATCTAATGCGGAATACCACTGATGGGGCATTTGAATGGTATGTTGTTTTCTCGTAACTCTGCCTCGCGTCTAATGGAAAGTTGGGTTTGTTTTGAAACTTGTGGAACTGCCTCGCGGAGTTCGTTTGCAGTTGCGTGATATCGTAACTCTGCTCGCGTCTAATGGAAAGTTGGGTTTGTTTTGAAACTTGTGGAACTGCCTCGCGGAGTTCGTTTGCAGTTGCGTGATAGTCAGTGAACATCAACAAAAGTTCAAGATGTGCGGGGATATTCAGTTTTTAGAAACATGGTGCACATGAGACGTTGACATTAGTCTAAATAGTTTGCAGCTCTTTGTATGGTGTTTTTGATAAAGCGACTTCGCAGCGAAGGGCTTCTCTCCTTACACTGTTCGCTGCGGTCAGCCAAAAAATACACGATTCATTGAGTCACTGTTGAAATCAAAAAATCAGTTTCAAAGATCAATTTTTAAATAAGACTTCAGCATCCACCCTACACTCTCTTCCTCATTTTAAGAGGGCTTTTATGCAATAAATAATACATTTGGCTTGCGTTCACGAAGCAAATCGATGATTATGTTGCATGCCTAGTCATATTCGCTGCCCTTGCCACCAGTGGCCATGTGTTTACAGGCATAGAGTTTACTCTTTAACCAGAGTGCAATTCAAAGCCATGCTATGATGGTGACTACAAATACCATGCCGACAAATGCGACTGCAATCAGCCCAATATAATTGTCTTCATAATTTCGTTCCATTCCAGCACGACCATAATTTAAATGAATGGTTAGGTGAGAAAAAATAATATTTATTCCCAACTAGTGGGTAGCTTGCCGTCAGGCATGATCACAGTATTACATTCAGCATAGGAGCAGGACTAAGGGGGGCTGTGAATAATGGGAATTTACCGGAAAAGGGACGGTTATGTAAATAGTTTGCATTAATGAAGTAGACTTCATTACACCTGAGGTGGCATGGGTAGGGATCCAAAATAACAAGGGCAGCTTATCTCGTGTGGAGAACATATCAGATGACAAGATCCAATCGTTGAGGTTTAAAAGTGGCGGGCAAAACCAAAACGAGCGAGGTCATAACAAAAAGCTTCCTGCCTGAAACGTGACAAAGAACTTCAAACTGCAGGAAGTGCGGAGCCGGAATAATGGATCTGGAGAGGCAGCGGAACAGCTACGACACGACTGGCCAATTTGAACTAAAGCCCAAAACCGTCACTAGGGCTTCATGGCCTTGGGTCGTTTGGCGAATTGCTACGGAAGCGTAAGTGGGGATGTTGAAGTGGGGTGATATGCAATAAGGACATATGGTAGTAGGAAACTCAGAATCACAATGTGCAGTGGAACTTGAGCGACTCACCAGTGTTGCTTCTGGAGCAGGGTCGAGTGGAAAAGTTACTTGGGAGAACGGGTTCACGGAAACTGTGCGAAAACTGACTGGCTTGGTGAGGAGTATGAAAAAAAGTCGCCGAGATCTTTACATCCGACAGAAGGTTCGGCAGATTGCAATGAACGCCTTCTGGTGGGGGCTGGTGACGAATGAAGACTGACTGCGGTTGTTGGTAAGCGAACGAGTGGGCGAGATGGCGCGGTCAAAGTAGGAAGTGAACAATTGCGGGTGTACTATCAAACTGAGTATCACAGTGCTGTACCGTCACTGCATTGAAATACTTCGGTTTCTGGGCAGCCCCTTGACGGACGTCGTGATTGAGGTAGTTAGGCTGAAATGCTCAGTCCTGTGATCAGCTGGATGTTGTGCGTTTGCCGAGGGGTTCTCAGGGTAGGCAAAACCAATGTAATATCGTGCGTAGTGTTTGTTGTTTTTCAGGCCGGGGATTCCTTCGTTCGTAATGCACAGACCAGGTGGAGTGGGCAACGGCCAAACAGGTATTCCATAGCGCGTAGTACCACGGGTCGAAGCTTGGGAAGAAGATGAAATCAGATGAGATCAATAAGGTCTGAAGAGATATGAGCGTCATCAGACTGGATATAGTCCTTTAATAGGGTAAAAATCAACGTCTACCACAGGTATCGGGGCGACACCAGGTGATTGAACAAGACGGGATAAGGCTGGTTTCGCACTCGCTGCTCCGATCCAGCGTGAAATTCCTCCTTGAATATCATAAGACTCGAGCATGTGCGGGTGCAAAATATCTACTGTTTGAATGAATGCTTCTGAAGGTCGCAAAATTTGGCATTCTAAGAGCACTCCATATTAAGCATGGATTAAGCCGTCCATGAACAGGGGCATAGTCAGCAAGCAGTCCGCAATGCGCTGATTTCAGGTAGTTGGCAGTAATGTGATTTAAAATTGCCCCGCTCAGAATTCTATTCATCATCATGCATGGTATGCTAATGATGCTAATAAGTCCTAGCTACTGGGCGGCAAGGAGATTTGGAGACAAAGGATTGGACAATGTTTCCGCAGATCTCCCCAACACAGCTGCTTCATGGGTTGAAAGCAACAATGCAAGCTCAGTCCAGGTCAGCTGATCGGTATTTGTGTGACTATTGCAGTGACTTAAGACGTCAACGCTTGGTTCTGATACGCCGGTAAATTTTGCAACCTGATTCTACACAGCTGATCCGATTCACCCTGGAATGTTAACTAGCTTCATCATCTGCCGAGGAAACAAGCGAAATTTTCGCTGCACATTTTAGACAGGCTGTCCCCGTGAGGCTTGTCTCATTGTCAGGTAATGGCATTCGACACCTTTATACAAGCAAAGGAGAACAAAATTTCCATCGGGCCGGTTGTAGTGGTTAACGGTCCTAGGAAGTCTCCAATGAACAGCAAAAACGACTACCATAAGTCAGATATAATGTCAATAGGGAGGCAGTCCAAGGAAATCTTGACTCAGTCCACAAGCGGAAATTCCGAAGATCCGTATGCTGTTAAACAATCCCTAGGAAGAGAAGAGTCTACGTTCCTGGTAACCCATACCGCCGGTAATCTCAATACACATTCACAAAAGTGTAAATAGATAGGTACAGTGTCTGCAGCAAAAATTTTGTTCACATTTGGAATTGGCGTCAGCCAACGTTATTCAACCATCATTCATAAAAACAATTACTCATCAAAAGGCGCAAATTCCCGCTGATATACATTGACAGGGAGAAAAATATGATAGTAATTAGGAAGCTAGCAGTTTACAAGTGCTACATGGTCATAACTTTGTGATCGGCCGATTTGTCACCAAGACGAAGCTTGTTTCGCGTCTCCCCGCCGGTCGACCTTCTGGATGTCTTCTGAATGGTGAAAGTCAGGTATGTGTTATATTATATGGCAGATGAAGCAAAAAGCATAGATGAAGGTGCCGAATTAAGCTCGTCGCCCCCCGGACTACACAGTTGGAAAAAATGAGCGCTGGGTGCTACCGTGCTCATGTCTTCGGCTCAGTGCAGTACCTGGTGCAAATCCGGCCTGTTGGTCCCGGACAAGCACCTCGCAGGGTGCGGTCAGGAATCGCGGCCTTATTAGCGCCTTTGGTACAGTGGTTGGCTCAGACGTTTTGCACGAGTTTTTTGGACACAGGCACGATGGTTGATTTGTTTCACTTTTGAAAGACAATCGTGCTCAAAAATTAGTCATTCAGATTAATGCGAAACGAAGGCTCACGCGTCGATGGGAGGACAACCGGCCCTGTGTCTTGTTGACTCTTCAAGGCAGAGAGGCCCAGGATTACTGCAGAAAAGGAAGCGGAGGCAAAATGAAGGAACTTCCGAGAATGGTCGATGTCCATCCAGGCTGTTGTCCAAAATATTCAGCCAGAATTTCGTAAAAGTTCAGTATCATCCCCAATCACCTCACCAAATTCCGGTCTGTAAGATTCCGTTTTATGGTTCCATTAAAAAGGATTCAGGTATGTCTCAGCTGCACCGGGTTGCTCTATTTCCAAAGCCATGCGTTTCCATCAGTCTTCCGCACATTTACAATGATCGTGCTGTTACCTAACAGCCGTTCCAGTTACCTTGCGCTCCGCATTAGAAGTAATGCAAAGCTTAGCATCATGGAAGGTGGCTGTCATGAAATCTAGTGATCGCGGGTCCTTTAGGTTCTTGTATCATCCCATAAAGTCTTTTGCGAAGTCCTCTGCAGCTATGGTGCGACGATGGATTATTGGACTGATTTCGACTATATGAACGATTGTTCATCGTAGTGCAATGATGAGTGCCCACGCTGATTCCTCATCCAGAATTCTATTGTGCGACTCCGGATCAAACAACTCAGATTTTTCATTGATTCGCCCACTACCAGTCAACCGATATGCGCTTATTTCCGACAATGAAGGATATTGTACTCCCATTTTTCTGCACTATGACATGGCTGGGTGCAGCAAGATCGATGTCGAGTCCCTGTATTTTATTGTCGCTGCGATGGTTTATCCATTACACAGGATAGTTTGTCGTACTTTGATGATGAAGTTATCATTCCACTGATTCAGCAAGCGACTGTTCTTGCAGATTTGCACTCTTGCACTCTTGAAATCCCTTGTGGGCTTGTTATGCTGGCTGCCGGGAATATATGCTGGCATCAAGTATACCGCTACACGTGTGTTAAATGTACACACCAAATTCACAGGCAATAATCGCAGTGTATCCATGGCTAGTTGTGAAACATGTCAACGAATTCATGCCGAATGCGATGGTCCTTTTCCATGTAAATGCTATGCTTAACTTGTTATTGAGGTATAGTAACGCCGGACTGAAACTTTTCTAACTACTTCTCCAAGTGCTTAATTCACATAACAAGCATCAAAAAAGTATTCAGCCATAAAGGGGTACCAACTCTTTTGGTTACTGACAGCGATAGATAATTTGCGGCAAAATCTCTCAGGGAATGAATTAAAGGCGTTAAATTTGGTAATCTGTTTACCGCACGATCACAACCCCAGTCGAATAGGTTTGCTGAGAATTTTGTGCGGACATTCAAATCTTCCAATACCTCATTCTCTCCTGCTTCCTTTGCGGAATGAGACAACAGAATTTGTAGTTTTTCAATCCAATACAGAAGCACTCTTCATTCTGTTACTGGGTTTAGTCCCGTCATTTTATTTAGACCTCGCTCGCACAGGTCTTGACTGTGCCAAGACGACTGAAGTTGGTATTCTTCAGGGGTAACAATTTATGACCTACACGGAACATACTTTTATCAAATGCCAAACGTATTGTTGCCACTCTCGATCCGGATGGTTTATGTTTGCACCGGAGATCAAATTGGATTCAATAGCAGATGTCCGTCAGTCAACGGCCCTCCTGCCGTTTCAAATTCTGATGAATGTTTTGCAGATGATCTTGTTGCAATCGAGCAAAACTTTATCTCTGACGATATGCTACCTAGGAAGAACCTGAAATTCTTCCATCTGGAAAAATACGAAAAATTACGATCAAGACCACCACTGAACTACAAGCATCCAGAAGCTCATTCAAGGTAAGGCGGATGTGATGAACGTTACTGATGCTCCATTCAGGCGGTGTCCTTGATTTCTAAGTGAGTGGCCGTTTGCCCATTCTGGGCCGGATTACATCACCTGTAATTTCTGAGCTCTTGTGTTTCTGTCATGTCTGCCGCACTTACATCAGATTGATTTGTTTAGATGGTTCCAAGAGGGTGTCAGGTTTCCCGCTGCACTCAGCACTAGTTGCTACGCATAGATTCTTCTACGCACTTCGATTTAATGAGGACGCAACATGTACCCATATTTGTTGTCGATAGCATGGCATCTGGACAAGCGGTCATGTACACCTTCACTTAAAGTAGCTCCTTGCGCTATCGTAGGCTCTGGCTTGTTTGGGGGGTGATGAGAAAATCCACATAAAGGCGTTTCGCTAATAAACAAACGCATAGGTGAAATGAGTGCTCTCGCCCAGACTTCTCCAAGCCGGTTCGCTGTCGTCACTCATTGTTCCTTATAGCCGTTCGTATCGGACAAAATAAGGAATGCGGACTGCCTCTCAGCTATAATAAGGTCTGTCGAGCGATCAGGTATTGCATGCGTTCCGATAGGAAACAAAATAATCTTTAGATATCTATATTCAATTTCGAACCAATTTGGTTTTGCGTAGGAGTCGTCTTGAACCCAGCTGAATCTCTCCTCTAATATATTATTAGCATGTTTTTTAACATATGATTTAGTGTATGGCCTCTTCAGTAACGCTGCTGAGTGGTTCGGCATGCGTAAATTAACGCCATTCAGAGATTACCGGTCGGGGTTGAGGTTTTCACGCGGCTTCATAAATGAGTGCGGTGCGCGAAAGTTGGACCATGTATTGGATTGAGTAGCCATTTTATGCGGATAGTTTTTCATGAAACCTCACTCGTTGAGTTCATATGACCAAGCGGCCCTGAAACGGTGATCTTTTGGTGTGCTAAAGTCCCTTTTGGTTCACTAAAGGCGTATATGATTACAGTAGGTCGAATACAACTTCGTTTCAGCGGCAGGGCCTATAGTCACTTTGAATGAATTATCCATGGGCAGGTTCTTGTGATTATTAAGGGTTGAAGTTGGACGGTCCCCAACTCTCCTCATTGCCATTCCCAATTCTCACTATGGAAGTTGTTTCTGACGCCCATGTACAGATCAGCAAGGTCCCCTGGGAAACGGCTGATAGTACATCACCGCCTACATCTGGCAATCATGTTCTGTACACACCCTGAAGGGCACATTCGTCATGCAGTGCCTAGAGCAAGGTAGTTAATAATGAGCTACTGTGCTAACTAGCTGTACTTCAGAAAAATAGGATTCTTGAATGATTGGATCTCAAATACATATTCCAGCTGTTTACTAAGGACAACTTCGACTTGCTTTAGCTAAAAACTATGGATGTTGGGTGACACTGTGGGTGGCGACTGTATCGATGATAACACAGCTCGCAATTCGTAGGCTGTTTCTTCACTTGGCTTAATATACTTATGCGGCCGAAGCCTGTGTGTTCAATCGTCTACCTCTATGATGGATGACAGTGGTGTGTTAAGTAACTCTTAGTCGTAGCATTTTATTTCACGCCAACGAGCTGTGGCCAATTCCAGCAAAACATGTTCTTCATTGAGGAGGTGCAGCAATCATGTCGACCAAAAACTACTCAGATACCACAGTAGTCCGTAATCTTCAAAATGAATATAGATCGCCTTAGCTAGCCAGAGGCTAATCTCCATGCCATATATATTTTAACAGGAGACACGACGACGCCAGGAAACGAGACCACCATAAGAATTTTGGGTGGTGTGGAGCTTGGACGAGCGTCACACCTGGAGAACATCCATGAGATGCGATTCGGGTAGCTCCAGTCCCCTTATCGGTGACGGGTCCTGCCTAATTTAATTGAACAAAGGCTCTCACATACCCCGCCCGACCATCTTCCTAGCCTTAATGGAACCTCGGAATGCCTAGATGGAGCTGTAAAGCTTGAACTGGTATTCTGAACTTAATTGCCAACCCGCCTATCTGTTCCCATTATCCACTCACTGCTCTCAACAGCAAAAATTTCACGGTTGAGGTAAAGTATTCTACGCGAAAATGTTGCATTTTGGTTGCGTGTGTGCTCAAACTAAAAACCTTCCTAATCTGCTCTCAGAATTTTGCAGCTCACCAAATTTCATTGATCACCGAAGCAATTATGCCTCTTGATTAGAAGTCTTGTGGGCTAATTTCCTAGCATTGCTGACACTCCGGGACGCCTAAATTGGGCTTATGAATTTGGACTGGTACTCTCAATTCAACTGTCAGGGACACGTTATAAATTTCGAAAATTGAATTCCATTGTACGAATAGCCGCAGGCTATTGACACACCCAAAATGGGTTCCCGAAACTCTAGGGTTTTGGAAGTTGCTATTTTAATGGGAGTTTAGACTAATCAATTCGCACCTTCCCGTGACATCTTGCATGTAGCAATTTGTTTAAGTGAGCGAAATGTCAAGCTCATTGACCATCGCCGATTTGAATTTTTTCCCGGTTAACGCGACATAAAACACGAGATCGCTCTTTAGCATCTTTTGGCGTTCTACGGTGTTCCTGAAGAATCAAAATGACATTAAGAGTATTTAATGCAAATGCCACCCTATAGGATCAGTCGCAGGTGTTTGTTTGCTTTATACACCTCAGATATAACAAATGGGATATTTGCGTTGGGTGAAACTGCTCACAAAACATTTTCTCCATGGATCTCATGTTCCATTAAGTGCAATAAAGTTAGATAACAGCACAAACTTGCAATGCCAGTACGAGGGACATGTAGTGGTCTGCCTACCCAATAAGTTAGTTTGCCAGGAGTGTGTGGCAAAGAGATAAAAATAATTACGCTAGGTTGGGTATACAAAAATAAAGAGATTAGATGGAACAGACTCACTAACAATGGTCCTCTTTAAAATGGTTCGTCGTTGGCCCAGGTCAGCGAATAAACAACAACCAAATTATGTTGGCCCAGAGGTCTTCCGAACAGTTCTCACATATAATAGATCCCGAAGACGTCTGAAATGTTTTGGTACCAGAATTAATACATGAGACTCGCGAATGACCTCTGCAAGCGCGAACGAAATCAGAAGAGAGAGTCGAATTACGTAACCACGCTCGTATTATGTGAAATTGTACAAGTGCGCGTTTTTGTAGTTTTTCGTATTCAAACAAAAAAACGATAATGCAATTGATGAACCACGTAGTGTTATAATGGAAGTAAAATGAAGGTACAAAACGCCACACTACTCCCCCACTAGAGCGTTGACCGTGAAAAGGGAAAACGCTCGAATAAATAAAGTAACGAATCACAAAGTTGCTCACTTCAAGTTTCGTAATCAGCTAAGCGCTGTGAGAAACGGACGCGACGTCCGGAACGACTAGTGGAAGGAGTGAGATTGGAGGCAGGAATATTTTGCGTAGCTGTGGGTGTTGTTGGGATAGCAGGATTGCTGGATGTGGTCGTGGGTGCTTCGATGTAGGAAGGTTTCAGACGATCAATGGAGACGGTATCGTGCTTTCCGCTTCTCTCTAAAACAAAGTATTTAGAGTGACGTTCGATGACCTTGAAGGGGCCATCATAACGAGGTTGGAGGGGTTTCCTCGTTGCGTCATGTCGGACAAATACAAACGGTGTAGAAGAGAGTTCGGTTGAGATGTGCTCCGTTCGTGTCGATCGTCTCGTCGATGTCGCACGATGTTCGGAATGGGTTCCCGAAACTCTAGGGTTTTGGAAGTTGCTATTTTAATGGGAGTTTAGACTAATCAATTCGCACCTTCCCGTGACATCTTGCATGTAGCAATTTGTTTAAGTGAGCGAAATGTCAAGCTCATTGACCATCGCCGATTTGAATTTTTTCCCGGTTAACGCGACATAAAACACGAGATCGCTCTTTAGCATCTTTTGGCGTTCTACGGTGTTCCTGAAGAATCAAAATGACATTAAGAGTATTTAATGCAAATGCCACCCTATAGGATCAGTCGCAGGTGTTTGTTTGCTTTATACACCTCAGATATAACAAATGGGATATTTGCGTTGGGTGAAACTGCTCACAAAACATTTTCTCCATGGATCTCATGTTCCATTAAGTGCAATAAAGTTAGATAACAGCACAAACTTGCAATGCCAGTACGAGGGACATGTAGTGGTCTGCCTACCCAATAAGTTAGTTTGCCAGGAGTGTGTGGCAAAGAGATAAAAATAATTACGCTAGGTTGGGTATACAAAAATAAAGAGATTAGATGGAACAGACTCACTAACAATGGTCCTCTTTAAAATGGTTCGTCGTTGGCCCAGGTCAGCGAATAAACAACAACCAAATTATGTTGGCCCAGAGGTCTTCCGAACAGTTCTCACATATAATAGATCCCGAAGACGTCTGAAATGTTTTGGTACCAGAATTAATACATGAGACTCGCGAATGACCTCTGCAAGCGCGAACGAAATCAGAAGAGAGAGTCGAATTACGTAACCACGCTCGTATTATGTGAAATTGTACAAGTGCGCGTTTTTGTAGTTTTTCATGTTCAAACAAAAAACGATTATGTAATTGATGAAATACGTAGTGTTATAATGGAAGTAAAATAAAAGTACAAAACACCACACTACTCCCCCACTAGAACGTTGACCATGAAAGGGGAAAACGCTCGGATAACTAAAGTAACGAATCACAAGTTGCTCACTTCAAGTTTCGTAATCAGCTAAGTGCTGAGGGAAACGGACGCGACATGGAGAGAGGTTGGCGGGAGGAATATTTTGCGTAGCTGTGGGTGTTGTTGGGATAGCAGGATTGCTGGATGTGGTCGTGGGTGCTTCGATGTAGGAAGGTTTCAGACGATCAATGGAGACGGTATCGTGCTTTCCGCTTCTCTCTAAAACAAAGTATTTAGAGTGACGTTCGATGACCTTGAAGGGGCCATCATAACGAGGTTGGAGGGGTTTCCTCGTTGCGTCATGTCGGACAAATACAAACGGTGTAGAAGAGAGTTCGGTTGAGATGTGCTCCGTTCGTGTCGATCGTCTCGTCGATGTCGCACGATGTTCGGACATG